ATGTCAATATGTGGAGAAGGTTTGGGATTGAGTCAAGAATCTCAAAGATTAATATTGGCGATGGCTGAGTTTGCAACTGTAGAACACCCCAGGACCAATACCAGAAAACATAGATCATTAAGTAAAGTTTGCAGATTTGCGATTAATACGATTGCACAAGAGCGTCGCATTCATATGCGGGCACAATCGAAACTCTGGGAAACGATAGGGGGCTCACAAATCTGATGACGCAACAACCGCACACAATATTTGTTTACCGTACTTCGCATGTTAATGAGAAGCTTGTTGGGCAGCTGCATTTTGTCCACTTAGCTGAGTAAAGAGCGAAACGCTGAGGCCATTGTTCAGGCTGTGACTATTTTTTTGGTGCGTGCCTTTCTGGGAAACAGCTTCTCTGACTTTGTGAATGCAATGCACATCACCATTCAGGAGACAGCAGCACTATCAAGATCACTAATCGTGAGCTTAATTTGGCTGGAGTATCTCCAAGTCTGGCAAGTCCACTTGAAGTTTTGGCTTGAGCAGCTTGCGTTTCATCAGGAGCGTCATATCAAAGATTCTCGGCCTTCAAACGGGCTCCGGCTTCAGTGAAACTGACATGCAGCTGCACGGCATGTTTGACAGAACAAAATTTTTGTGGTGATCTTTTGGCTACACTAATACTCTGCTAATAAACACTAATACATCTATGTGAAGGTGGTATTACTCAGAGACATTTGTGCGATGTGTTTGTGGGGGTGGGGGAGTTCTCGAGGGGGGGGTTCTATGATACCTATGAAAAAAGCACATACCTTCTTTGGTTTCAGCCTGGTTTCACCAGGGGCATGTTTTTTTTAGCACACTGCATAGTCGTTTGAATGACCTAGGGGACGTTTGCTGCGACAATGCTGTTTTTCCCACGCAGTCACATTAAGGACTACATCAATCATGTGATGAGCCTGGGTGAAGAAAAGCTGGGCTCTGCCTTCAACACTGTGTGGAGCATTCTCTAAGCGCATATCCCATGCCACTTTGGCTGCATACAGTAGGCGTACCAGGCGCTCTCACACTGTTGACATGAGAGACTACTGTCCAGGGAGAGATCGATGCGCGCCTTTTTTTGAGGCTCTTGGCAAATGCATCGTGTCCAGAACCTTCCTTCCATGGCCCAAGACAGCTGCCTCAATGGACCCAGCTGGCTCGCAGAACAGATCAGCCACCAGTCAGTTGTGGCACTGCTTCTTTAGCTTCGCTTCGGCATTCTACAAAAGAATGCAAAAGGTATTTATCCAAGGGCCATCGAACATGCTAAGTTGTGCTGAGGTGAAGAGCCTAATGCTGTAATGCACTTTATTGTTGGAGCGGTAGTGATGATAGCGGTGATGGGGACATTGGCTGCCACTCAGAGAAAAAGTTCAATCATAATCTAAGAGGTTCATGTTGTGCAGGGCACTTGTGGCTTTTCTCGTCGCCGCTGTCTCCTGTTTGGACACCCCCAGCAGGCAACAGAGGGCTCCATTCTGATCCCCAACCATGGGGTAAGGCCAAAGTGGCCATGGTCAAGACATCGCTCGAAAAGGGGCCCAAATTGCTCGCAGTTTTGGTCTAGAATCTCTCTCTCACATATATATATATATATATATATATCATTGAACCCAATCCAATCCCCATGAATGGCTCAAGCCCGGACAAGTCCGGTGTTCACCTTACCTGAAAGCGTACATCTGGAGCCGGGCACCAAAGACCGCTCCTGTTGTCGCTGAAGCATCGGGCACCTGGTCACAAAGCTGTAAAGATTGGCCAAAATATGCAGAATATAATTTTGAAGTACAACATGTTCAAAACACAAAACTACCAACACAGACGTGAGCCTACTACAAAAGCAGAAAAATACGCACGGCTGTTTGTGGTCCAGGGTGCCGCCACCACGGCTCCAGCGGAGGGTTGCAATGCTGCGATGCTGGACATGCTGCATTTTCTGGTACCTCAGATGGCAAAGTATAACGGTCGGCCTTTCCCTTCTCATGCTAAAACCAAGCATGGTGACTACTTTATACTACATGACTGTATATAAAGGATTTACAGGCACTTCCTCATTGAGTTGCCCAACCTGGCTGATGCATCGCAAACCATCGTCAGATATATTCAAGATCTCGGTCATGACCTTACCCACAGTTCATACAAAAGGATATCAAATCCCTCACAAATAGTTGCTTTTGGAGAACGCATACGACAGGTGTTGCATTTTGCCCAGAAATACCCGACTCACATGAATTTGTCAGAGATGCTCCAGGGCATGCCATCACCCTTTTCATCTGTCATCCAAAACCACTCGATGCCGATGCCATCACACCCTCGAGAGCCAGACCTACCATATGAGGAATGCATTCGATGCTGCCAAAGCATTCGAGATGCTTTTATCCCCAAAGAATCACTGGATGATATTCCACTTTGCGCTTTTCCATGAATCACGATCGCATTAATTAAAGGCTGATTCATAATTTCTCACCGCTATGCAGTCGCCATTGCTTGCCTCTACACCAACCTTTTTGTTTTGTTTTGCTTCCTGTTGTGTTTGTTTGTGTTTGCCCGGTTTTCCTCGCATTGACACAGGAAACGAGATTGGTATCGTCACTGTCCTTTGTGACACAACATATGCAATCCCGGTACCGAAGGGCCGAAGGTTCTTGAAGGACGTATCGCAAGCATTGTTGGGTATATACCCACCCAGGCTAGGCAGCTAGGTCTACAATTAGTAAGTTGTTCCCACTTCAGGTGGCTTGTGGCAGCAGAGCGGGATGCTGCAAAAGGCAGCTTGGCAAAAGTGGCACATCCTTGGCGGTCACACTGTTCTGGTGCGTGTGCATTTCTCAAAGGAGAAAATAAGAGCTTCAAGAGCAAAGCAGGAAACGACTAAAACAAGAGCGTCCCCGCTACTAGTAGCTACTTACGCTTATGTAATGGTTACTGCAGCCCACCCCCCCAAACTGGCTTATTGTTGCTAGTAGTAATGGCCTCCAACCTAATAGCGATGGCCCCCAACCTCGTAGCTTCGAACTACTAGTAGCTTAAACATGTAAAACGGTTTGAGTGCGCAAGATCGCCACGATTTGAGGCCGCATCCTTCTCCAACACTTCAGCCTCAGAACGGCCGAAGCTGTCAACGTACAGGCTGTGCTCCGTTGTATTTGTGCTATTTTGTGCTAGTCCGAAGCTTTAGCAAGTTTGGTGATCAATTTGAACAGTTGTGCTGTTCGTTTTTGGGCATATTTTCTGTTTGGCTGCGCTTGGTCCATGGCATTTGTCAAACAATTTTGGTAATCATTCGATAAGTGTGGATCAGTGACTCTGCGGATCTGGACTGCCAAAAGATGCAAGAATTGTCAGGAGGGCGCAAGTGATCCTCCAATGCCACTAGGCGGGGTTCGCATCACTCCGATCGTGAGGGCAATACATTTACTGGCACAACATGGGGAAAAGATGCTAAAAGGCTAGGGTCGGATGTTCTGATTCAATGCCTTCACGTCTCAATCCTCAGGCTGATGGGTTTGGTGCAGTGAGTTGATAGGACTCAACTATGTGGAGAAACATGCTGAAACAGCAGACAGCATGCTTCCGCTTCAGGGGACATCGAAGGGCTCATGCCTGATGCGATGAAGTCCAGCTCCTTGGACTTTCGGACAGCTGTTGGCGCCAAACAAGAAGATTGTAGAAAACTAGAAAGGACCGTGTGCTTTTACTTGTGTAGCCAGTTTATTGCAGGATTTGCGAAAGCAAAACGGACACCGTGTTTGCGTTTTGTTTGCTCATTCTTCATGTACCCCGTTTGTTGAATAGCTTTTTGCATGGACTCATCTTGACTCTCAGACGGTGGGACTTCTTCAAGGATGATGGTCTTCGCCTCTTGGACCTCAACCGGTGACTGGTGTGCAGTGCTCTCTATGAGAATTTGGTTGTGCGCAAGTGCTTGTTTAATTCATCCATTTTGCATGGTTCTTATTAAAGGTGCGTTAGTTGTCATTTCTCCGAATGTTGCATTTATTCGTTGCAGAAGCTTGCTGCACACAGCTCACTAGCATTCATCCAGGCCGTGGTGCTGCTGATGAGCCTCCTTTGCATTCTGATGGATGTGGTCGGACGTTTCCTCTCCCACATAGCTGTCCTTGTTTGGGAAACTTGGTCTGATTCAGGGCACAACTTGAGTCGTGAGTTCGTTTAACAACGGTCATTGAAGCCTTACATATACGTTATACTGCAATGTTCGTATGCTCATGGAGTTCGAAAATGCTTCCGTGGTTGAACATACGTGGTGGACTACGGCAGGATATCGCAGATTATTTTTGCAGTCACAGGCACGTCGCAACACGCCTTTGTAGTCTCAGGATGACTGCGAGTCAGCAAGTGAAACGCGTTCACAGCGGCTCGGTTGGCAAGAACCGCCGATGGAGTCTGTCAGATGGATGTTGGAGTTTTTGCTTTTGCTGTCTTTCATTTTGTATCACTGTGCGTTCTTTTTAATGTATGAAGGTGGTTGAAGGCTGAAGGTATATATAGTCTTTGTGAGTGTCTATGTGTTATTTTCTCGCTTTGGCGTTCAAGTCTTTGTTTTGGTTTCAGTGTGATCCAGCTTCATGCGCAGATTGGAGCCTGAGAAAGAGCTCAAGGCTTTGGCCTTTGTACGTCTACTGGGTGCTGTGCACTTAGTCGCTTGGAGAACCGGAAGCCGCGTCAAGCTGGAAGCCGTGGGACGCATGTTCTGCGACTAACTATTCCTTCATACTTTGGACATCTTCTGACTGTGCCACCGACGTCGCTAGTGTGTAGTGTTGTGGCTTGATTTTTGGAGGTCATGTATTTCTATGGCCCCGCGTGGTGTGCTGGATTCAATGCTTGGGGTGCTTCGTGGTTTGCTCTGTATTTCATTCTGACTGGGCCGCTTGGAACTTGACTGGAATGAAGTCTACTGTATCGGCACTGTCGACGTTCAGCTTCACTCAGGTTGGGCAGTGCATACGTCAAGTTGGAGCGGAAAGTCACTAGTGGTTGGTTGCCGCGCTGGGGGAGCCTTCTAAGACATTTGGCGCTTGTGTGACCTTACTGAACTTCCAGACAACGCTCGAGATGCGAGGGTTGGTTTGGCTGCGACATTTCTAGCTCAAAATCTATATACTAGTACCATAGTCTATTGTGCTGTCCATATGTGAAGATTTCGCCCTTGACACCATTGCATAAGGTATCCTCTCTATTTGCCACTTGGCTGCACCAATGCCGCCTCATGAGGCAAAGCATCGATCATTCTGAATGCAATCAGTTTCCGAACAATGATATTCGGAAGCATGTTTTTGCATAGCTCCACAGGCCACAGGCTTAGTTGACACCAGCTTACCTACATTTCGAGGCTGGCACTATGTTGGCAGCTTGTGAATATGCGCATCTTCGGTTCTCAGGAGCTAGACACTGACCGTTCCTGTACGCTGAGTACTGGTGCTATTCCACGTGTTGTCCTGCCTAATATCCCAGGGCTGTGGGGGTCTATACGGTCTATACAATTGGAACAGATGCCGAATTGGATTACCGTAGATGGTGCAGTATGCCTTAAGCCAAGACCGGTTATCCATGTTTATCCCTTGAAGCTCGGTATTGATTTTATTCCGATCATTCGTAGACGCGGATGCTGACCAGACCGCACTTCTGAGGACAAAAGGGCCACGAGCTTTGCTTTTGATTAACTCCGTCACTACTGGCGTTCTCGGCAGTTTGATTTTCAATCAGAATTGAAGTAGTGTCAGCACTGGTGCATGTAGGAGCCGATAGTCGCTTCCTCAGTTGCGTGGATCTTTATTTTTGACCTGCATTCAATTCCAAGTGTTCAACATCCCATGTAGCCAACCTTTTTGCAGTTGTGCAACTCGCATTGCATTTTCAGATAGTTGTTTCCTGAGGTGTTTTCAAGTTTGCTTTGCGAGTCCCTCATGCTTCAAGCCTTCCTACCGTAAGTTGGCAGCATACGGGACAGATGCATAAGGTGGTTTGTTACGATGAATGACCGTGACCACATTGGCGAAGGGCTGGGCTGCAGTTTGTAGATTTCAGCCATATCGCATAAGGCAAAAGATGCTTCATCACTACAATCCACCGAGCTGCTTGGCAATGCCACTGTGGACCTGTGGCCAACACTCCATGGCTGAGATTTGATACCGTTTCCAAGTCAACTCACAAAGCTATTTGCCTCATTATGTCTCTAGTCTCCAAGAATCGCTTGCAGGATTGTGCATTCCTGCAAGCCTTTGGTTTGGGTTTGGAGGTTTTGCCTTGAGACCTCACCTCGCTTCAAGGCACATTCTTCAGTGCCCTCGCTTTCTGTTGGCTCTTGGAAGATGCTCTCTACAACCTGGGTAGCTTGTGCTGGTACCCCGGCCAGGGAAGGAGAATGACACCGCAACTTCGGGTTTGGGGAGGCCACTAGGATCCTTACAGTGTTTCATTTTCAGGAGTCGCTTAAGACGGGTCACCACTTGCATCATTCGTATTCACTGGAACAGAGGAACTGCGTGTCCGTTCCCATTGCATCAGATTTTGTAAACCATGGAGTCAGCAGGCGGCCATTACACTCACCAGGCTGACTTACCCGATAATGAAGCATGGCCCTTCTTGTCAGCACTCAGCACGGTGCAACTTTCTGAAGGGGAAGTGGGCGCTGGGGTCGGCGCATCACTTGCCTGGGTGTGCTCATTTGGATCATCCTGTGGCCTTTTGCAGTTCCTTGGCTGAAACACTGGAGATCTTGGCGCACCTTGCACATCCTTGCACGGGATTCAAGTCACTATCTCAAGCAAGGCTCCCGGGAAGCTGGTTGACCTGCAGGCCGCTTGGCTTCGTCAATAGTCCTCGCCATGAAGACATCGCAAGGTCTGCAAGTATTTGAATAGAATGCCGACCCATCTCACAGAAAAGAACTCAAGATAGGGTCAGACAGAGGGTTTTTTTGAGACGGGCTGCATGAGGCTGCTGTTTGCCAAGACTGAGGACAATATTCCAGCGTTTTCCTTCATCCATTGCCACCTGTCGAAGTGTAAGGAGGTCATGATGAGCCAGCAAGCACAGCAACAGCAAGTTCACAAAGACTGCAACTCAGGCTACTTTAGCGGGGTGCTGCTTGCCCATTGCCTCCATGACAAGCCAGCAGTGCTTTGAATGCATGAGAGGGTTTTGGTGGCCAATGGCAGGGGCCTTTTTCAAGCAATCTTACAGACCCACTAGTGGAATACTAAACCATACTAAACCCAAAGCTAATTAATTACAGGAATTGCAATAGTTCAAAAACAGAGCAGCATAGAGCAGCTGCCAGTTTTGTTGTGTTTGTTGTAAGGTTTAAACAGGTATAAACTGAATTGTTCATGTACAGATTGAACAAAATGCCAAGCCATCAGGTCCACACAAACAAAAGGGCTGGTGAGACTCCTTGTTACCGGCAGGTTTTCGGGCCTCCTGTGCATGCCAAAATATGACAATTGTTTTTACCGCGTCGATGAAGTTGAGGTCGGCTCAAAACGAGGCTCAGCAATCAGTGCCAGTGGATCTGCCTTGATCCTGGTAACCGTCTTTTGTGGTTTCAGTCACCTGGAGACGTCTTGTGTTTTTTTGGTACGTCAGGAGTCAGGACTGCTCAATCGTTCGACATCAACATTGGGTTTAAGTGTCTTAGAATCTAGGAGAGTTGTGTGGTTGAACTCGGGAACATTGTGATGAGCCTGCTATGTAAACGGGCCGCTTTGTACAATCCGTGGTCCAATAATGAACAATGCCCAATACTATTGTATACATACTGTATGGTGATCTACTGTATATATCCAAATCTAGTCGAACTCAGGTGACAAAGCAACTGCGACTAGCTGGGCTTATTTCTTGCTGCTGTAACTTGGAAACTAAGCAGAGTGCCTTTTTAGTTATACACATCAGTGTGCACATGATGCTTATTAAAAGAAACACACGACCAAGGAAACATGTAATGAGTTGTCCCGTTTTAGCAAACCATGGCTGATTTATTGTAAAACGATAAATATTTTAAACACAAAAACGATAACAATCATATAATACTTGCAGTACAGTACATGAGAATAGAAGCATTGGAAATTCAAATGCCTTCAGTTCTGTCGTGAGCATGGTGGGGCAAGTTCAGTTTAGTTGTGATTCAGGTGTCCTTTAGGCGACCTTTCTCATACGAAAGATGTTTACACGTCCGAGTCACAGGGTTGCAGTGGTAGCGGTAGCATGGTAGCGGACACGGAAAATACTAGGTTCAAGGCCACCAAAATGGGTGAATACTTGGGCTTCCAAAACGATAGCAACACGATAACAGAAACGATAACACAATACACGAAAAAGCCCTCGGGAAGACCATGTCCCATGTACGCGTGCTTGTGGTCAGTGCTCCTGCAACTGAAAAACATATGCCATGCTGAAGTTTCTTTGAAGAGTGGTTGGCAAGGAAAGAACTTGACAGCAGCAGCACTGCAATCGCTGGAAAGAAAAATCCACCCAAAGCAATGCACATACTCACATACTGCTCACATAATAGTGCACGCGCACATAATATACACACAACAGAAACCGACTTGTTTGCACTTGAGGCAGGGACATGTCTGGTTGGCTGGGAAACCATCACCTGGCCAGAGGTGCTCAAACCAGCAAATTCGGGATACTGCGGGATACTTGAGGCCCGCACAATGCCTTTTGATATACGGTCTTGGACGCGGCGAAGATCCATTGGCCTGGTGCTTTAGCGTTTGGCCCCTGCCGCAACCTGTCTGAACTGTGAAATCATTTGACAGTTCGACTCATCATTGCTATGACTCAAGCCCGTACAAGAATGGGAAAGGAGGATGTGTATGTAGCTCGTGGGACATTTGAGTTTGACAAATTGGCAGAATGTGTTCAAGTGCAAGGCGACTATCTGAATTGGCTTTGGGCATTTACATCTTCCAATCCCCCGCCAAGCTGATGCCCCATGGCACATGTTACTTTAGGCAAGCCCAAGCGTCATCAAGCTTGGGATCAGAATGAGTCCTTTGAATGTTGTGGAATTCGTTCAACGTGAGAAAACTGCAAAAGCCCAGTGTGGTGCTTTGCACATTTTGAGTGCGGTGAACTGTTGATCTAGGCTTGACAACCTCATGGGATGGCAAGGCCCGTAGCAGTGCATGAAGCTCATGAAGTATTTTTCTCCCAACTTTACAGATCAAGACCTTCAAAGATGTCCCACACTCTGGTTCTGTTCAGTTTGCAGAGCTCAAGATCACGCTCCGTCCGTTTGCAATTCCTGGATCTCAGTCCACGCAGGCAGCTACACACTGAGTCAGGTTGTGCTTCTTCTATCACTCCTGGCGATGTTGGCAGCTATGGCGCAGTTGTTACAGAAGCCGTTGGCTCGTTTGGTAACAAGCTGATGCAGGCTATGGGCTGCGGGTGATGTTCATATCCTTTGCAAGTGGTACGTGCTTGCATGCGATTCAGACCGCCTCGAAAAGCGGGAGAGAAAAGCCGAGACCTGTGCAGCATTGCGGCGGCTTTGCCACTGTCCGTTGATCTCCATTCATTGATGGGCATGCTCCACCGATTTTCACCGTTTGGCTCTCTAGTGCTGGATTGCTGGTGAATTCTTATCTAACACGGATTGGAGAGTAAAACCCATGATTTGAAAGAAGCTTTGGTGTTAAACATTTTGAGGCTCTTCCAAACACCAACCTGCCAGTCCCAATGATGGAAGCTTGGGTGGCCTGTGACTGGGAGCTGGTGCCCACAGGCTTGAAGGCCTTGGGTAACGATATTGAAGCACCAGTTGGCCAAGTGGAGAAGGGTGTTCAGGCGCAGCTTCAGCATGATTCACTGTTCCATCATGAGTTTGCAAGGTTGTTCTCGACTATTATATAAGGTGTGCGTGAAGCTAATATGAGCTTCTTTTCGATATTCCCTTTGAGTCGGAATATATTGGAATCTTGTGCGTTTCAGTCACTCAGTGGAGTGGAGAGTATGAGAGAGGGAAGTTTCTCGTTCACGAGGATGCGCGCGGCTTCTTGGAAAAGATTTGCAGCGAGTCACAGAGAAGACAAGTCATTACGCAGGCAGAAGTTGAAGGGTTTCTTGTGGCCCGGCTATTGGCAGTGCACTGGCACAAGACGCCGACACCTATTCTTAACATCAACCACATCAAGACAAACCACAGTGCAAGGGGAACTTGACCACCAATCGCGAAAAAAATGCCAAGTCAGGTATCGGGTGCTTGCAAACCAACAAACCACCTCCTTCTCAAATACTGTTTGATCGCTACTCTGCAAAGTCAACGTTGTCCATGGCCATGACATTTTGTCAGGCCGTGTCACAAGCAAAAGTGAATCTGGGTTCGAAAACAATGACTGCACTCCTTGTGTTCTTCGATGGTTGCTTTTGGGAAGAACCGAAGAACCCGACAAGTCTCCGATGTTTAAGGGCCTTTTGACATGACGAGTTCGGCTCGAGATGCAAGATGGGGCGCTCGTGCAAATAAAAAGAAAAGCTTCTTGTTACTACTAGTAAGGCACTTGTTACTAGTAGCGATGCACTTGTTTCTACTAGCTTCTTGTTACTAAGGCCTTAGCATGCGCTGGAGAAGACGTGTGGCAGACCTTCCACCACGATGAAAAGCTCCACGCACGAAGGCACAAGGATCGTACCCTTGTCGGAGGAGCAATCTTCGTTAAGGTCTCAGGTTATTTTCCAGGGGTCACCGTGGACCACGTGGCTCACTGCTACATGAACTTCAACGACCGTGCTGGCTGGGATAGGCAGATGGATGGCTTCAAGGTGACGTCACCCGTGGTTCACCTCATGATTGCTTGCTATAGTTTTTACTATATATTATATATATATATGTGTGTGTGTGTGCGTGTTAATATTATTTTTACGTTTGTACCTAATTATGTGTGTTCAGTGCACCTGAAACCAGATCACCTGTGCTTATTTGGGGTGTTCGCGGTTCGCTAGTATGCCACAGGATAGCTTGCAGTCACAGACCTCAGACAGCTTGAAGTTAAGAAAGGTATGCCACGTATAGGTACTTCTTCGTTTTTTGAACGGTTTGTTTGACCAAATCTACTTATTTCAGGTGCTGCAGCATGGCGAGGGCAATGACCTCATGCACACGGTACTTCACTCACCCCCATTGTCGGATCGTGACTTCTTGGTGTGGCACATCGTTCTTCGCCACACCAATGGAAAGGGCCTGATGTTCTATAGCCGGTCTGCAGACGACAGCTTCTATCCTCCTGGTCGTGCAGTGAGGGCCATGCAGTATATCGGTGCTCATCAGTTGATTCAAGATTCAGGCTGCAGTGAGGAGTTCATGTCGCATAAATTGCACATGTCGAAAGCCGAAAGCTGAGTGAACTTCAATTGGAGCCAATGTTAAAAATATTTATGATATGTCCAGAGCAATGGATTCAATAGACCAATTAAGTTTGTAAGGGCCGAAGTTATGATGTCATGCTCATGTCGTTGGATGTGTGAGGTGGGGTGACCTTTACCACAATCACTGCAGTCGAGCCTTACATCCCGTTTCTCCCAAGGCTGGCTGCATCCGAAGTGTCGCTTGTGTGCACATGTTTCATGATGTTTTGTAACGTTTGGCAAGATTTGGTGACTGCTCCGGATACACAATAGGAACAATTTAAGAACAATACAATTTTGTGGCTGTTTGTTGCGATGGCCACGCAGCAGATCCGCGCTAGGCCCTGCGAAACACAAATCCATTAAGTAAGAAGTGACGTTCGGAACGGTGTATATACTTTTATAGTACGGGCTGCAGCCACAAACAAGGTGCGCAAGGTTGAGTACGTTGGACTATGGTGACGAGCAGTCTGGGTCTGAACATGCTGCTTGCGTAGCGCACGCAAGCCAGTCGGAGCAACACACCTGTACAAGCCTAGTATAGCTTTGTTGCTCGAGCATGTGCGCCACGTCTCCAGGTGGGTGATGAGCCTTTTGCTGCCGTCTGAGTTCAAGCGTTGGCGGAGTTCTGTGTTGCGACGTTGCAGCGAGCTGCGTGGTCAGAGGGTACCGTGCACTGGGCTTTTTACTTTGGACACACCAGAGGCGGGAGTCAACACCGTAAAGAGTCAGCGTATATTCTCTCTTCGCTTGCACCTCAATTAAGTGAAGATGGCAGGTGGAGATCGATACAAAGCCTAGCGTTGGTGCTTTGAGTACAGGCAGCGGACGTTGAAACTGTTGGCCGATGTGGGCCGTGCTGTTACACGATGCTTCTGCCACTCGCAGGCATTCCAGAGCTTCCAAGCGACCGACTCGAAATTGCAACGACAATGTCTGAAGATGATCACCTGCAGTGCTCTTTCTGCCAGTGTCTCGGGTAGGCATGTGCTGTTTATAAGCTACGCTGGTCTCTTTGCCAGTGTCTCCGGTAGGAATGTGCTGTGCAATGCTGTGCACCATTGTGCACCGCTCTCTTTCCTGTGTCTCGGGTAGGACAGTACTGCGCGTATTTGGAAGAGTGCGGAAACGGCGTTTGTCGTCAGTGTTCGCTATTCCAAGAACTTTTTGGCTACCCTGGGACCTTTGTGCTTCCTGAGATGTTATATACTCACCAAGTTCCTTCAAAAACTAAGTAGCGAGCTCACAAAGAGCTAAGTTTGCCCGGAAGATCCCGAAGCACACAAGCCAGCAATTTTGTGGTGGGCTCAATTGCTAAGCAGTTGAGTGACCAGCTTCGCTCAGCTTCTGACCATTTTCGGTGCGGTATTTTTCCCACTGATCTTGGCCAAGCTTTTCCAGAAGCCAGAACCTTGAAAACCAAACACTTTGGAATGCCTTGGTATATATATATATATCTGACGATCTTGATTCATGATGGTTTATTGTTTTCGTGTGTGAGTATGTGTGCATTCTTCAGGTTGCTGGAAGTATGTCTAACGCAGCCTGGGTGGTTCAAACCTGTTCGAAGCATACTAACCATGGACATCTTTGTATTCCCACAGTCTCTCGGTTGACCCTACCTAACTTCTGAATACCTAGAATGCCTCAGTTAGAAGACAGATCCGTGGATCGTTTCTGCAACCTGAGTTGGCAAGTCGGTCAATTATATAGAATCGCACAGATGCATCTATAGATTTATGTATGTATATAACAACGTTTCTATAGTGTATAAAGATGTATATAGTATGTCTCATTACAGGGCAGCCGCTGGCTGATCCGCTGCTCAGAAGTTTCGAGACCGCACCCCATGCAAACACATACTGCACAAAAAGTTACACAAGAGCTTCAAAGATCGCGTTCTTAGCGCGCAAGAGCAGGTCAAGCCGGTTCTGATGGATGTTTATAGCACCTACCGACGCTGCACGCTCCGATCCAAGCGCCTGGCTGGAAGCTACTGGGCGCTCACTGGATCGTTGGGCATTTATGACGCTTCATCTGCAAGGAGATGGAATACCAACAGCTACACTGCAGTGTGAGACATTGTGCCCAACACTTTTTGCTTTGCCTTTGCTTGAGAGACTTCGTTCAACCTGCAATGTTATTCTCAGAAGACCGTTGTATACCTGCATATGTTCTTTGGTGACGCTGTTCTCTTGATTCACAGGTCCTATGTTTTCATGGAATTTTCGACGCATGTCTAGTGGAGGATTTCTAGGGTCTTCTATATCATGTCAAGCTTATTCTCCTTAAAGGGCCTTTCACGTGAGGTCATTTATACCGCGGTTACTGCCAAAAGCCATTTGTTGCAAGAGGCCTGACCGGGGAAGGCTGCAACCATTGCAGAGTGTGACCCATGTACACCATGAACAGACTACTGAGCACAGCAGTACTATACGGCTATTCGGAATTCTGGATGTGCCCTGAGGTGCTTGCCTCTGATGGAGTGCTATTCGCACGATTCGCAGAAGATGAAGATGTACAACCAAAGTGCGCCAACATGAATTCCACCGGTGCCCTGCCTGTTTTGGGCCGTTGTCGAGCATGAAAACTCCTTCAGGACCATCGGTCTTGCATGCTCAGCAGCGGTGATGGCCAATAAATTATGAAGCGGCACCAGCAGCAAAGAATTGACAAGTAATGCGAAGACCGGATCAATGAATCAGCCCCTCCCACATAACTAGAAGGTCAGAAAGGTCTGAGGTACAATTCATGAGGTCCACTTCCCCTGAATAATCTGCTAAGAAGGGAGTAGGAGAGTAGTAGCAGTAGTGGAAGTAGTAGGAGTAGTAGTCGTCGTCTTCGTCGTCGTCGTAGTAGTAAGTAGTAAGTAGTAAGTAGTAAGTAGTAGTAAGTAGTAAGTAGTAGTAGTAGTAGTCGTCGTGGTGGTGGTGGTGGTGGTGGTCGTGGTAGTGGTAGTGGTAGTGGTAGTAGTGGTAGTAGTGGTAGTAGTGGTAGTGATAGTAGTGGTAGTCGTGGTAGTCGTCGTCGTCGTAGTAGTCGTAGTCGTAGTCGTCGTAGTCGTCGTAGTCGTCGTAGTAGTCGTAGTCGTCGTAGTCGTAGTCGTGGTAGTCGTAGTAGTAGTCGTAGTAGTAGTAGTAGCAGTAGTCGTAGTCGTAGTAGTCGTAGTAGTCGTAGTCGTAGTAGTAGTAGTAGTCGTCGTCGTCGTCGTAGTAGTAGTAGTAGTGGGAGGAGTAGCAGCAGCAGCAGCAGTAGCAGTAGAGGTAGTAGCAGTAGTAGCAGTAGCAGTAGCAGCAGCAGGAGCAGGAGCAGTAGCAGCAGCAGGAGTAGTAGTTGGAGGAGTCGTTGTAGTAGTAGTACAATTGACCTGGTTGTGGGCTCGGACTAGCTAGGGGATGCTAGGGGAGGTTATTAATCCTTGTTTGGCATTACCCGTGCATTTGGTGCAACCGTGAGTGGCTCGGAAGGTCTTTGTGTGGAGTTGCCCTGGCTCGATGCTGTTGAGATCTCAGCCACTCGGGGCTTTTTGGCCACCTACATCCAGGAGCTGAAGGCATTCAGTTGCAAAAGTGACAAACATATGTATGCAATGTATGATAATGTATGTCATGTCATGTATGGTAATGTATTGTTATGCAATGGTATGTAATTGTATGTATTTGGTATGTGCTGTAATCTATGTATTTCTTCATGCATATGTAAATGGGTTACATCAGATGTCATTTGCATGATTAAACGCCATATATGATAGGTTTGATAGGTGCTATGGCATTTATTGTGGATTTGTGTTGGAGGTTTGCTTCGACACGCTCTATCTAGGAGACCCTTTTATTTGGGCGCCCTGCTTTGCAGCAGTTGGGCACAGGTCAGATAGCGCATCAGGGTCAACAAAAGGCAGGGGCCGTGCCGGCCATGCTGCCGGATATCAGTCAATCTGTTTGTTAGAAGGCATAGTGCGTTGCATGTTTTTGGCTGCTGGATGCAAGATGCGAAAAGCATCGAAAAGCTGCCCTGTCCAGGTGCGCAGTCAAGCCTTTTATGTCGGCAGCTTGGCGGGGAAAGAGAAGCCTTTTGCGAGACAGAGAGATGTTGGACAGTGTGACCTGAACTCTGAATTTTAATTTGTGATCTCACGCTCTGGCAATCGTTCTCAAAGATGAAGCAAGAAGTTCCCGCACGTGATGTTTGTTAAGTTATATAAATACATGAAAAAGATGCACTATTGCTCCTGTGACCATAGATCGATTGAAGGAAACAATAAGACTTCAAAGCTTGTCCGATGAGCAAACAAAGATTTAAAAAGGCTGCGGGATGCCAAAAACATCAAGTGACGTGATGCAGTCGGGGCACAGCAAGGCCAACCGGAGTTGTGGATTCTGGTCTTGGAGCACAGATTGAGTTCCATCACAGGAACGTGGTCCGGTCAAGACCTGATTGGCTTCTTGACATAATTTGGATGAAAAGGTTGACATTTTTGCACAACCATCTATGTTGTGCGGCATTTACGCCCATAAGCTCCAGAAAGTAAACTGATTTGTCCGGCTGTTCTTGGGTTGTGGCTTGTTGTGGCACATATGTTGTGGAAAGAGCCTGAAGGATCTCCAAGTCATGTGCCTTCCGAGAGGAAACATGAAACATCGGCCTTTTGGTGTGGTGTGTTGGTTCGATGAATGTTTTACCTCTCATTTGCCTTGAGGTTTCTTGCGGCAGGAGCAACTTGATACTGGCTACAGCCATCCAATAGAGTGCGCCTTCGCAGTTGAATGCTACACAGGTTATCCGTGCTGCAATGTTGGTTGTCTACACTGGCATCCTAGGCATGTCGCGCATGGTTTGCCCAAGGAGGTCAAGACGTGGTTTGGCGGTGCAAAAGATCGACGCTTGCAGGTCCAAACGACGGGTTGCTGACGTGATATGTGACATCATCACAGGCGTTGCTTCCCTAGAGTAGGAATGAACAGATACGATGACAGTTACGACTTCAATGTAGTCTCGCCAAAACATACCAAGACTATGATACTGCAATTATCTTGAATTTATAGCGGTAACAAAATCTATGCCAACGGCGATTGCAAACGATACCCAGTTTGTGGGTTTGGATGCTTCTGAAAGCCGGTTGCTTACCACATTTACATGTTTGCAGCATGTTGGGTAAACGAGGGGGTTTGCCCCGACTGCAAAATGCAGAGGGTCAGAAAACCCTGAGTCTTACAGCGTTTCGTGGGTCTCCGGACACTGAACTTATCTTCTTGGAATTCACTAATTCTAAGACGATAAGTTGAGTGCCTTTTGAAGACCATTCAGTCCAGTCCCCGGATCCCACCTGCTCCATGATCTGCATCCGAAGGCACCTGTTCTCTACACGCCGGATCTCAGTCCTGTTCCCAACTGAGCCATGACAGCTCACTGTACCTTTGAGCTGGCGGACAAGTGTCTGGCACAGCTTCTCTATGTATTCTCACAGCCTCGAGCATTGAGTCCAACCCTGGATGTTGGCTGAGCCACAAAGCTGCGAGGCCTTCATTGTGCTCTCGTTGCAGCTTTGCATCGCAACGCCCAAGAATACCCAAGTAGTCCCGCGAACGACACGTCACCAAATAGACAAAGAAACGTGAAGGCCGATCTACGCGAGTAGTAACACAGACGAAACTGACCGCACCCCCCCACCCCGAAAATCCTGTGAACTGATCGGATACATGTTGACGCCGGGGCAAACCCCGCCCGTTGGCCGAACATGTTGCAACTTCCTATTGTGATAGTTGTGTTTCTTTTCCTGCGCGCCGACCCTCCGCTTGGCAAGCATAGAAGAGAGCACCAACCGCTTTTTGCATCGTTCAACCCAAAGGATTGTGATAACTGTGAATTGAGAGTAGAGGCCTTATACAATACTTGACCTTGTTGGCGGTACTAGGCAGCAGTATTCCTACCATGACTTAGCTTTCGCTCTTGGTTTGGGGTCTCACATCCACTCTCTCTTGGCCACCGCACACACACACACTGCACATCTTGGCCGTCCATTACGTGAAATGGAGGCGTTGGTGACCCCAAAACTTCCCCACAACCGCCTAGTTGTGCTTGTCTCCCACACGCAAGAAAATGTTTTTTCATGGCGCATGGATGCACATTCTCTTATATATATATATATAGGCAGAATATGTCTTTTCTGTTCTCGAGAGTGTGCGTGTGTGTGTGTGTGTGTGTGTGCTTGCTTGCATACATGCCGGCTTCTGGAGGTTCTTTAGAGGACAGTGTAAGCTTAGGGTATCCTTTTTTTGAACATGCGACTGTTTTCAGTTGTTCTGGGCAGGATTGGGGGCAAAAGGATTCAAGACAATTTCTTTCTTGAACTAGAACGAAAGGTGTCGCATGGATGGAAGCACCTGTCAAGGTGTAGCAGTATTGAAAGGCCTGAGCATTGCAACAGTTGGGGGTGTTTGGCTCGATTGGTTTGATAAATTGCAATCATGCACGGCTCCAAATGCTTCTGTCAGGTCAGACTCTTTGAGCTCTTGCAAGCAGCTGGTGTGACGCTCGATCAGGTGCAGGGTGTGTAATCTCTCAATTGAAGGATTGAGAGCTCAAGGCTTCGCATCAGCTTGACAGGAGTGCAGCCGCTGTGCAGAGTTCAACCTCACAGGGGAAGCTGCCAGATTGCGACGCATTGGTCTTGAGTTGGATGTGACGCTCTTCTACTCAAACCTTTGGTTCCTCTGGCCCTGGAGCTGCAATCTGCTGGACAAAGTGGTAGAAGCATGTCATGTTTCAGGTTGATTTGCAGCAAAGCTGTCATGATGTGCTGAATGATTCAGGTCTGACATCTCAACCTGGTTCTTGCCAAACAAGGACCACAGTGAGATCAGCACATGCCAGAAGGGTATCGGCGTCCCGCAGTTTGCACGCTTCAACTGCCTTGAGCGTCCTAGACGTTTTCCGGGACATGTGAGCTTTTGACCGATGGTGAACTTGTATCCAAATCTGAGATGATACATCATGTAGACAACTGCCAAAGCAGAGCAACATCAAGATTGCTGAATGGCATAATGCCAAGAAGAACCTTAGCCCACTCTTGTAGGAGGTGACGTTCGAGCTGCAAGTGAAAGCACGCGAGCCAGTGGAAGGAGTGCGCACCATCCGCACAATTGGGCCTGCGCAATCCTTCTTCCAAGATGAGGTGCGGTGAGGATACGCCGAACTTCAACGTGATGAATTTTGTTGGTGCCCGACATTGCCCTTCCCTTTAGTCCAGTCCAGTCCTTTGTCGATTTAAAGCCATTTGCACCTGCGCTGCACCGGCACAGGAATATCACAATCAGACTGCTCGGGTTACTCGTCGCAGTTTTGGCATCCGCCTGCTGTTCCATCAGCGAGGTGTTATAGGCGCGGCGTGGCATTGGTGCAGACACAAACGAGGTTGCAATCTGGCATGCGTTCATAAGTTTATATATATGTATATATATGTAATCATCTCTAAAATAGGACAACATAAGAGTAGACAGTCAGACGGAGATAGAACAATGTATATTATATATATATATTGTAAAAATACATATACGTATTTGGTGTGAACATGCACAGATGAAGCTACGGGTGTTAAATCTATTCCATCACCAGCGGAACGCAATTTCTTGCAAGTCCGTTTATGTCTACCCGGAGCAAAGCAGTCATCAATGATCAATCGCTTTATGTCAGCCGCATTAGCTGTTCAGGTAAGTGGGATTCCATGAGTTTAGCTTTCTTTCTGCTACAAAGTTGCACCTTCCTTGGCGTTGCTTGGACGCTCACTGAGTTGCTTTGTGCCACTTGGAGGCATATCTCGAAAATTGAAGACGGCTGAGCAATGTTTGACAGCTTGTTTTGCTCCTTGCTTCGGTGCGGTGAAGTGTTCGCGATATGAGACCTTCATTCCTGTACTTTGCGACCTATGGGGCTGGCCTCCACCGGCATGGTTCGAGAGCTTGCAGAGGGTGCGACACGGGCGCATTTACATAATATCATTGTAATGATTGAACAGATTGGCCATGATTGGGATGTGTTCTACCAGTTTTGTGCGTGTGTCATGGTCGGTCAAGCTTTAGGCTTTGCCGGTGGTGTATTTTTCCGCTTTTGGGCCCTTCGAAGGCGCAGCGTGACAAGATCGACTGAGCTGAAAGCCAAAGGAGCATTTGAGCCGCAGTCTCTCAGATCTACCAAATCGCTAGCCGCTAGCAAAAAGTCAGGGGCTCCGAGCATGAAAGGGAGATCAGTGCTATCATATAGCAGCAGCTGCAGCAGAATCTCTGCAGAGCCCCTTTGCTTTGTGCTTGAACTCCTTGGCTCAGACTCAGTCATTGGCTCAGAGTGACAGACTCAAATCCAATCAGTCACAGTGCCAGAAGTCATATGTTTAGTTGGGTCCTCAAACTTCCCGCGACAAGTGCCGAAAGCTTTGTGGCGAGTTCCTGGGAATTAACCATAATTAAGGATAACTCAGGATTAACAAAAATATGCAATTAAACAAGACAGGATGACATACCACAATGTATTCCAGTCTTATTTCATCACTTATCTCTTTGAGAGATATGTAGATTAGGATTAGTTCCAATTCAGTGTTACATTCTGAGCACCAAAGCAGTCTAGCTTTGTTTCCTTTGTAATTGCTGTTTGTCCATTTTAGGTAGCAATGTCGAGCCGTTGCACCTCGCCAGTGTTGCTTGTGATTGTCCTATTTGGAGGCAGCATGCTTCCTACGCAATGCTTCCTTGGAGGCAGACTCAGCCTGTCGCAGCTCTAGTCACTAGCATAGAGATTTGAGAAGGCTGATTGTTTAAGTGCAAGTTGAGGATCGCGCAAGGTATGCAGCTGTGCAGTTTGATCAATGATGAATGCGGGATGCTTTTCCGACTTGGAATTGGTTTGATGGAGATGGCCCAGATGGTCTGAATCCCGGAGAGACAGGTGTCCTATTGCTGCGCCGCAGCGCGCTTTTGCTTCTTGCGGCGCCCGCTTGGATGCCTGCGTCGACTGGCAGATGTTAACGACTTGTGTCCCAATTCTTTGATGGTGTTATACACATTTGGTGTTTCGATAGAACAACTCTTTTGCGGCTTCTTAACGTGATTGAGGTCAGCGCTGCCAGGGTCGCCTCGATTTGCTGGCAAATATGATGATCCCGACTACCCCGGTGCCCTGGCATTGAGGGAAGGCATAGTTCCTGTCATCAGGATGATGGGCTTCTCACTTCTGGTTGTTGGATGATTTGGATTTTCGGATTTGTTATTCTTTATAAATATGCCCCTGCCCATTTCCTCTATGAATTGGGGTGGTCAGCCCCATATAAAACATTTTAGAACCGCCACCCTCTAGGGGGGCCAGGACATCATTTGTGAATCCACCCTCACTTGTCCATGTAAAGACCAGGTTGCGAGATGTGATGCTTGTTTTGTACAGTTTGTTTCGCGACATTTCGGCTTACCAGGGCCCTTGAGTCTAGGCTAGAAAAGTGTGCGTGTCCGCCCAGTCACACCAGTTTCATACTGGTAGCGTGAGCTGGATCCTGCAGAGGACCAGACTCAGGACTGTGTAGGACGATCCAGGAATCGTTGAACCGAGCCCAATCCACTGTGCTGCGCTTGTGCTTTGCTTCGTGCATTGGTGCTAAATTCATAGTAATTCGTCCTTCGTCATGAGCGTGAACGGACTCCGGTTTGGAGCCGATGCTTTCTCGTCGAAGGGACCTGTGGAGACCAAGACTGGCTCCGTGATCTATTGGGGAGACCCCCAGTCTTTCCATGATTGGGAATTTCGCGTGCTCCTCAAGATCCAGATTCTTGAAGCCAATGAGGCAGCTGCCAGAGCTGGCCTCGAAACTGCCGAGGATGAGAAGAAGGAGCGCGAAGAATTTGAAGCAGGATTAGACGAGGAAGGATACGAGAAGTTTCCATCCACAGAAGCCCCCAAGGCCTCAGGTGCAAAGTCCCCAAAGTCGTCAGAGGGAGCAACCACCAGGTCCAAGACCATTGAAGCAGACATCATTAAGGATAGAACCAACCTCATGTCCAAGGTCATGGAAGGTTTGAGAGGTGACGCCTTCTTGGTAGCTAGAGACATGGGTATCAACGCTTTGGTTGCCGATGGCGGTTTGCGTGAACTAGTGCGTCGTATCAAGCAGTCAGTGTTTCCAAGAGCTAGTGAAGAGGCTAGGGAACTCTTCCGCATTGGTCAGGTTAGGTCTGGCCCTTTGAGCAGGCAGCCTAGTGAATCAATGAGATCCTACTGTGACAGGCGTAGGAGATGGTGGCGCACGCTGCAGGAGTTGGACTCCTCCACTTCGTTGAGTGAACCCATGCGCTGTGAACTTCTCATTGAATTGTCGGGATTGACACATCAAGAAGCTTTGGTCATCAAGGCTTGCGCAGGAAGTCCATTGTCATTCGAGAAGGTTGCCAACACGTTGATCGAGCACTATGGTTCTGTGCACTTGAGAGGTGGAAGATCCCTGGGCCACCAAGGACCCAGCATGGGATCAGGAAAAGGGAAACCATCCACGCATAAAGGCAAAGGAAAAGGCAGGAATCCTTGGCATACAGGCTATTTCGCAGAGACCACCAGCGTCCAAGACGACTGGGAAGAAGAATTTGCAGAAGACATTGTGGAAGATGAAGAGCCCCTTGTTGGTTTGCTTGCAGGAGCTGATGAAGAAGAACCAGAGGAAGATGAGTATGAGCATGAAGAAGTTGAAGAATGGGAGAGTATTGCACTCAACGCCATGGCTGACCTGGAAGGCAGTCCAGACATTGATGCATCATCGTTAGGAGAATCCATCCAGTTACAGATTGCTGCACTTGCCGCATTTGGGAAAGCAAAAGGAAAGAAAGGAAAAGGCAAAATCCAGTCCACAGGCACGCATGGCAATGTTAGCATGTATCTCAGAGTCTTCATGTGATGAAGAAGAAGTAGTGCTAAGCCCATCAACTCTAGATCATGCTGCTGCATTCGTAGTGTACCCCAAGCCATCTAGGAGAGAGCAACCCAGAGCATCTGATGAAGTCTCCAGTGACATTTCCATGGCAGCTAGGCCTAAGGTCATGCCCAAGAGTCCCCCTCCACAAGCTCAGGGTTACGCGTCGCAAGCGTCCTCGTCGTCGTCGACAGCCGTCGTTCAAGCCTACAGAGGACCTGTTGCCAAGATGCCAGCGCCTAAGTCCAAGAGTGTTGCCAAGAGAACACCCCCATTTCCCCCTTTGGAGAAATGTCGAGATTGTGAAGAGTTTAGCTATAAAGGTTCAACTGCCTACACCATCAAGGCCACGTGCTTCGCTTGCGGAAACTCCACCACAACCAGAAGGGAAGAAAGGTACCCCTACACCTTTGAGAACTGCCCCCATGAAGTGGTTGATCGCAGAGGTTCTAGTAAGACTACGTCTCGCGTGTTTTGTAAGCAGTGTGGTAACTTCGTACATGAAGAGCCTGCAGATCTTAGGAAGCAGAGGGTTGCAGTAGGCAAGAGGACTGAAGAGACCCCTGAAGATGTTTTTCGTGTTGTTCAAAACATCACCAGTGTTGAAGCCAACCAGGAGTTGTCAGATGAAGTGGTTGAAGCCGTTGTTGCACATTTCAACGAACAAGTCTCGTACCAGACAGGACACACAGCGGCATCACTTCACCAGATTCTGGATGAAGCACTGGTGGCCAACGCCAACGAGCAGGACCCGTTGGAAGATGATGGCAGTTTTGAGTTCCCTGAACCGACTTCATTCACGGCTGTGGCTGTCAATCAGACCACTGGAGATGTCATGCTCAATCTCCCAACAGTTGACGTGATGGATCCAGATGACCCCCACGTGTATGCAGCTTTGGATGAAGGGTGCAACACCACCTGTCACAGTTCAGCATGGGGTGAAATGGCCACCAAGAAACTAGAAGCCAGAGGCTATTCGTTCCAGTGGAAGGAGGATGCTGATGCACCTACCTTCATAGGCCTAGGTAGTAAGTCCACAACCAAGGGTAGACGTTCCATGCCATTTGCACTGCAGGCCCAAGACGGAGAGGAGTCGATTTATGGTTATTTGGAATCATATGAGGTAAGCACGGGTGAGACACCATTGTTGATTTCTTTGTACTGCCAGGTCGCGTTGGGTATGATCAAGGATTTGACTCGTGGTACTGTTTCAGTCATGAAGAAAGGTCAAAGGTACATGATTCCATTGTTCAAGTGCTCACGCACGGGCCTACTCCTTTTGAATCTCACACAGGGTTTGGATGACATGGACAATGGCCGCAGTTGGTGCAGATGAACCTGGAGCAGCAGTGTTGCAAAAGCTGTCGGGATTGGAAGGTGTCCCATGGACTATGTTCAATGGGGTGACAGTTGTGAGTGCCACCCAGGAAACAAGTGTTCCAAAAGTCCATGGAGATCCAGCCGTTGTTGAAGAAATCGACTGCAGAGACCTCAATGATCCTCACCATGACAGGCAGTTGAGGGATCACATTGGAAGGCATCCAATGGTGATTGGAGGTATCTTGAGTTCTTGCAAGCAGAAGTTATTGACTCATCTTAGGAAGGCCAGAGTAGCAGTTGAGCGTGGGAATGGCAGGGCGATCATTATCTTTCGATGCAAGAGTGCCCGCCATAGATCAGTGTCTGCAGCAACCATGTTTGCATTTCTTATGCACATGCTTGGCGTTCCAGTTCGTGTTCATCATGCAGGGTCACACTCATGGCGCCACATGAGATGTGGAGCTAGGTGTGAGATGTGCAGAATGGAGGACGCAGGTAGACTCCTTCAATTGGCAGCCCAGTGTTTTCCATTGTTCACGAGAGAGTTTGGTTTGTCCGCCGCAGCTATGACAAATCCACTTGGCCAGATCACAGCGTCTTCGACTCCTGAAGCAGCAGTCGAGCCAGAGGCCGACGAGGAAGAAGAACAGGACACTCCAGAGGCTGAAGATGATGAGCCTATGGAAGCAGTAGTTGTGGAAGAGACGAGCACCGTCAACTCTCCAGCAAGAACCCCACAGAATACAGCTCCAGGGAGGAGACAGCTTCCCACACCTCCACCTGTCCCTCCTGAGTTGAAGCCAAAGAGTTCCTCCGAGAGAGGACGAGCGCGTGCAAGAACAAGCCGTTGGTATGACGATGAGCATAGCCAAGAAGAATACAGACGTGATCGCAGAGAATCCACAGAGAGCTACATGTCGTACAAGCCGTCTTCATCGCGGAGGCCACCTTCACCGCCACGTCCGCCACCTGCAAGGGGATATCGTGACTCGAGTGACAGGGTCAGTTCGAGATCTCCAAGAGATCGTCGAGACAGTCGGGAGCGTGATGCCGGGACTGCAAGCAGATCCACACTTGAGAAGACGTTAGACTTTTTGCACAAAGGACTGGACGAGTTGCGCGCCCAGGTGCAAGCAAGCAAGGAGAGCGACCGCGGACGCGGCGTATCTTATTCGAGAAGCCGGAGTAGATTGTCGAGGCGCCCGAGACGATTCGATAGGAGACATCGTGAGAGATCCCCAGAGAAGCCAAGAGCTCCACGCACTCCATCCCGTTCACCACCATGTGGAGGAGTGCAACAGTATGGTGACAGACCAATGGGTGATTTGAGTTCGTTTTGGGGAGCCGAAGAGATTCACCCATGGGTTCGAAGCGATGTCTACAGCATCAGGTTCCAGGCCTCGATCAGCCCAGAAGAGCTTGATAAGGTCGTTGAGTCTTGCAACGAGCATGATCGGATGACCTGGATCGGCTCCGATGCTGCACCTCAGAAAGAGAAAGTGAGGATGCAGATTCGTGTTCGAGGCAGCGTGAATTCGACCACATCCAAGTTTCCAAGATGGATGTCAGATTGGCGCAAGTCGACCTATGCACGAGAACGTGGTGATTCCTGGAGGATGGTGGAGCATGAAGTACCCGTGCACCACACAACTCCTCTTTACCACCCGAGCCACGATTTAATCGTGTTGCTTCAGGCCCCGTATCCGTTTGACCGTGACTTTCAGCACGAGTCACGTGGAAGGAAAAGAGGCACTAGGACAGAGCGTCGCGGCTATCCGGCAATTCGAATTCGTAGGACACCACCTCAGCCACCAAGGCCATCCCGTGAAGCATCGTCGTACTCGAACACCATCGAAACCACTTCGACAGTAGAGGGTAGTAATACCACTTCTTCTGCAGATTCACCCCAGAAGAAAGGATCAGCATCAATTGGGAATGTCCCATTGCAAGAG